ATTGCCTCGGCACTTCTTCTGTGAGAAGGAAAAGATGAAGTCAGAAACGTATTCGAAATATTAGAAGTAGATTGTGGTGTTAATATAGACAGAAATTGACAAAACAAAATGGTGATTAAAAACAAAACTTCGGCACTGGTGTGCACCGGTACGAGACTTTTACATTTTTTCTGGCACCGATGTGCATTGGTGCCCAGAAAAATAATTATTCGGCATCGGTGCGCATCCCTGCACAACCAGTGCCGATAAAATATTTTTTTGTAAGGAACTTTCTTCTAGTTCACTGTTTACTCATTGTTTCTATTTTTACTTTAATTGTTATTCTGATTGTTACTGGTAACGTACGACTCGTGGTCTTGCTATACAATGGCGAGCCGATTTAGTAGGGAGTGTCAAGGAGCTTATCTTATAATACATATAGTTTAAACCAATTTTTTGCAACTAAAACGTTTTGTATGTCAAAACTTGCGTATTTTTAGACAAATCAGATATTTACTCTCAATTTTAAAATTTACTCCGATATCGGAGGATCCTCTTCTGCTTTTTTTTGTACTTCGTGGCGTCTGTGAAAGCGTAAAGTCATTTATTTTACAAATGATTAGGTCATAGACAGCAAAGAAATCTATCTATATAAAGAAGAATGTTTGCCTGTGTCTGTTTGTCTGTTCTTTATGCATTTGGTCCCTGTAAGAGCTAGCGTCACCAAACTTTCCATGACATACTCTTAAGTCCAGAGGAAGGTCGAGACCGGATCGGTGAGGGTGAGAAACTCCTTGCTTTTCTCATGGCCAACTTTTAGCGTATTCAAGAATCGGTGAAATCGAAGAAAATTTTGGTTAGTCATAAATATATGTCCAATATGTTTAGGTGATTAGCTATAGTACGTACTTGGATATGACTTAATCTCTTCGTCGTTTTTTATGCCGGCACATGATGTATCACATTTCTTCTAATGCGTGATATATTGTCATTGGAATTTTCACATCACACTATACAATGACGCTATCAAAATGTTTTAGTGTGTGCCACACACGTGTGTTTTTCTATTGTTTTTCTGTATCAGGGGCCTGTTTCTTAAAATTAACTTAAGTAGAAAATCTTACTTAAGTCAAACTTAAGTCCAAAAAAGTCTTTGTATTTTTTGACTTAAGTAAGATTTTCTACTTAAGTTTTTTTAAGAAACAGGCCCCAGAGCCATATTCACTATAGTATTTCTCATCTTCCGACGATCCTACTAATAAACGTACTCACGCACAAACAAGTAAGTGAGTAACATTTATTATACACTACAAAATTTACAGATTACTAAAGTATTTTCGATTGTGACTTCAAATGCAAATTTCTAAGGTAACTTTGTTAAAAATACAATATTCTTAAAGAATATTTCTAACCTATCCTATTTACATTAGGAATACTGCAAAATGCCACCAAAACGAAGAGCCCTGGTGGGCAGAAGTACATCAGCTTCGAGGAGAATGGTAGCTTCCTGAGCAGCTGAGACTCCAGAACAAGGGCAGGTTCGACGCCAGGAAGATCGGGCAACGCATGCGGCATCCAGAGCAGCCGAGACTCCGGAGCCATAACTGATAGAAGACTATAACGATGTCTTTTTCTAATATGTCAAGTACATTATATCAAATTTTCCCGAGCAACGCCGGGTACTTCAGCTAGTATTCTATATTTTAGAATGCATCACATGTTTCAATTAAATTCTATCTTTCTAACCTTGTTGGAGAACATTTATTGAAAGGTCTGACTTTTTTTCTTTTTTTTACGAGCTTTTCACATCCCGCATTTACTGCTGATGAGTAAAATGAACATATTGACGTTAGAAATTCTTGTCTTTTTCTGTGATGAAGCAGGTAAACAGAAGATTTATCACAGAGATGAGACCTCTCATTTTTTAAGTCCCAAATCGAGAACAAGAACGCAACGTTTTGCTTTCCTTTTCCGCTAGCAATCTAATCAAAAATGCTACTTGTTCATGATTGATTTTGCCGCTCATTAATGTAGACACTTAGAACGTTTTTTTTCTTCAAAGTGATAATATTTCATTTTGAAACGTGAACAGAATACGTTGTTTCTTTGCAGCACAGAGTGTGCCATTTTCTTTGGTTTTGCATAAATCGTATGATGCAGGGTTTTCTTACTCTTTCTGTTGGTACGTTATTTATGTTAGGCATCTGGCGTGCAGCGCTTTTCTATCTTTTCGCATACGACAAGACACAGTTAGTTCATGGAGAACGTGCCAGAAATGAAAGAGAACATTGTTTTACTCAAATTTGAAGATTCGCCTCCGCCGATGTTCAAAAATTTATTTGCCACCACCGAAAATCTTTTTATCGCCGCACATATCTGTATATATGTCTTGTTTAAACACTGAATTCCTACTTTCTCGTTCTCCTAGCTCCACCATATAACTTCTACTTGATCTTTTCAATTCAGTAATTTGAAATCTTCCACTTTTATGATATTTGAAAGCCAACTGTCAAAATCTCGGCTCCTATGTAGCGTGAAAAATAAAATTGTCATAGAATCGGATTGACGACAACTGTTGGAATATATAAAACAAAAATGAAATTCTTTTTTCGAGGGGCAAGGCCGAAATAATTCGGAGGTTATTCTAAAATTTTTTTCTCATTTCTTGAATAGTCTTGTTCTGTTCTGAGGTGAACAATTTGGTGTAGTCATTTTTTTGGTAACATGCACATCATAAAAACAAGAGTAGTTACGATATTTTCTTTGAAATGTTATATTTCTAATATTTTCTACATTTCTTCATTTCATTCTCTTTTGAACTAATTAAAAAAAAAGTTCACACACATTAAAATAGAAAGTTTGTTAGTAATGCTTTTTCACTTCTCCAAATGACACATTTTAGTTTTAGTTTTTTATTATCATGCATTTTTTTTCTCGTTAAATTAGGGTAGATATTCTTCTATACCATAGCAGTTTTAGTTTTCAAAATGTTGGTACTGTCGTTTCACTTGTAGTAGCAGCCTACTTTCTTGACTAATAATAATAATACTCATGGATCCTAATCTTTCTCAGACTGATGTGATGCTTATCACTCAGATATTGTCCAGAAAGTGGTCTTATTCAACTTTTTCTTCTATTTGTTAGTTTTTCGAAAATTTTACTAATAAATCGTATGACCAAATTCAGAAATTTTTTTATAATGCAAAGTAACTAACACTGGCATATTTTTTAACTGAGCTACATTGAAACGTGCAAGTAATAATGAATTACATGTCTGTTATTTTCAACAGCTAATTTTTCTTTTATTAATCGTTCCATAATTTTCTTTCCGACAAAATAGAATAAGAATGCAGTTTTATTATGGTTTTTATTTGTTAGTATTAAAAATAAGCTTTTTGCTTTTGTTAACATGCCAATATATTTGCACGTATACGCTAGAACATATTGACTTCGACAGCAATTGATTGAAATGATCATTTAATAAACAGTAGCAGCGATGGGCGAGTACGAGTTTGTACAACTTCGACTCGAGTACAACTTTTTTGATACTCGTACTCACGACTTTTTTTAAGGAATACTCGAAAAAGTACTCGAGTATTCTCGATCGAAAGCCTGTATAATCTACTATGGATTGCCGAGAAGAACAGTAGGTTCTATTTTAGAATTGTAGTGTAATCCTATAAGAAAAATGCATGTTGTAATCAATATGAAAGCCAGGAGACTGTCGGACGGAGTAAACGAACTATTTGTTCTTACAGGAGAAAAAACAAAATTAACTTTTACTTCATATATACTCCATACATTTTTTCTCGTTATCAAATTAGGGTAGATATTCTTCTATACCATAGCAGTTTTAGTTTTCAAAATGTTGGTACTGTCGTTTCACTTGTAGTAGCAGCCTACTTTCTTGACTAATAATAATAATACTCATGGATCCTAATCTTNAGTATTCTCGATCGAAAGCCTGTATAATCTACTATGGATTGCCGAGAAGAACAGTAGGTTCTATTTTAGAATTGTAGTGTAATCCTATAAGAAAAATGCATGTTGTAATCAATATGAAAGCCAGGAGACTGTCGGACGGAGTAAACGAACTATTTGTTCTTACAGGAGAAAAAACAAAATTAACTTTTACTTCATATATACTCCATACATTTTTTCTCGTTATCAAAACTTGTACTCGAGTACAGACTCGAGTAAAATTTTCGTGTACTCGTACTTGCCACGAAATACTCGTATTCATACCCGTACTCGAAAAAGTGTGTACTCGCCCATCTCTGAGCAGTAGAACTATTTTATGTAAAAAATCTATAGGATACTGTGCAGGGATGGCGCTAAGATAAAAATGTGAGAGGGTACGCACTCCCCTCGGCTAACAGTGTGAATCATTCATTCATCAGGTAAAACATGATAAGCATCACAGCATAGCTGTAAACATAGGAAATTCTAACAGATTCAATCTTCCGTTGTTCATTACAAACATTTTTATTACACAAGAGTCTATTTTACAATTCCTAACTTGACTGTACTTATCAGTAATAGTACTGTCGAATTGTAATTTTTTCTCTCCCGTCTTTTATTCATGTTTACACTAGTATAATCTTCATATGATCGATGATGATAGCTCTATTTTCAAATGAAAAAGAAAAATTTGATCCCTATTAATACAGAGACGCAGAAGTAGTCTTACCCTATAATGTGAGACGACACATATATAAATATTCTTATCGAACATAAAGTAAGAGAGTGTATACACATTAAAGTGTCTGTACTTGTGTAGAACATAGAACGGAATGCATAGGAAAATTCATTTTATTTTTTTACGTCGGACGAAAAAAGTTCGTCACAACCACGCTAAAGCCACAGTGTAATATAGTTTAAGGCTTGATAATTATCATAGATCGGTTTGAGAGAAGAATTTCTTTCTTACACATCGCATTCGAATTTCCCTCTCTCTGTCCTAACCCTGTGTGATGAATGAATAACATAACTATAACAATAAATCTGTTCATATATTTCACATGGCTTGCAAAAAACACATGTTCTGTAATTCTGTTCTTCAAAGTAGAAGTGTTAATTTAATGTAATTTTAGAAAATAAATCTAAATGAATTATTTGTATTTAAAAAAATATAAATATAAATAAATGAAAAAAAACTTATCTTTATTTTATAAAAGTAAATGATTCATTTTTATTTATCCATTATTATAAATGACCAATAAAATTAAAGTAACACTTCAACGAACTATGAAAGTATTTCAATGCCTTGGTCCTTCCGTTTTCACATCCGCAATAACAAATAATAAGGATACTTCAATACCTTCATTCGTATGAGTAGCAATCTTCTCTTTTTTTCTTTTTGAATAGTAAAAGTTTTTCTATAACACAATGAAATAATGACAAAATTTTTATCTACATAAAATGCGGTGATACACAGTGAAAGATAGTGGAAAACACCAGCTTTTCTTATATTGTGACCGTCGAAAGTTTAGTATAAAGTTGTGTCGTCAAGGTTGGAAAACCGCCGTCGACTACTGACAGGTTTGATAAAATGTCTCCTTGATACTCGTAAAACTAAAGCAATCTCTTTAAGATGTTGTCTTACTGCAGCTTACTTTATTGAATAAAAAGAAAATATCTGTTAGTCAAATATTATCTATTTATCATGTTTTCTTTTTTATCCAGAGATGATAATTGATCGTCAACGATTTCGTTCAATTTTGACAGTGTTTAGTTTTATATTATTTTTATTTTTCATATCAACTTTAACAAAAAATTCCCTGCTCAACGACAATTCTGATACTATAACAGTACGAAATGAATCAAAACGAAAGCATTCGCATATCCTTCCCCATCTACCATCGTCATGCCATTCATTATTTTTAACCTACGATGATTTAATATTAGATAAATATCATTTGAGAAATAGCATCGGCATACCATTTATTATTCATCAAACATGGAAATCTTATGAATTACGTTCAAAACAAAAAAATTGGACTAGTACATGGTGTAAAAATCATCAAAGTAAGTTTTTAATATATTTTTATTTTTTTAAAGTTAAATTATGAAAACTTTTATTGACTCCTGTTTTAGATCAAAAATGGACTTATGTTTTATGGACAGATGATGATAATAGACGTTTAGTTCGCGATTATTTTCCATTTTTCTTAACTATGTATGACTCATTAACACCATTTGTATGTAAAGTGGATGTTGTTCGTATAATGTACATGTATTTATTTGGTGGCGTGTACATTGATTTAGATTATGAATCATTAAAACCAATTGATGAACTATTATATAAACGTAAACTTATATTTGGTATGATGACATATGATTATGGAACAAAAGAAAGTTTTCCAAATTCATGGTTTGCATCGGAAGCTAAACAAAAATTTTGGCTATTCGTTTTAGCTAAAATTTGGGATAGATGGGAATTAAAACCAAATTATAATGTCAATTTTAATACAGGTATAAAAAATTTACTGTTTATTTGATTGATGCTATTATGTTTCAGTTATTTACAGGTCCAAATTTGTTATTTGACTCAATTGAAATGTATATAAAATCTCAATTATTAACATCAAAATCATTTGATGAGCTAATTCCAAAACAAAATAATAAAATTGTTGAATTATGTAATATGACATTTTTACCACCTCATTATGTCAATGCTTATGATTGGAAAGCCATGCGAGATTTACAACCAATATGTTCACCGGAAAGTCAAACATTTAATCCTGATGAATGTAAATTAAAATTGAAACCTCTCTATGCTATTACATATTGGTCACATACACATGGAAGAGGAAATGATGAAAAAAAAAATTATCTTCAATAAATGATACCTTTATATAGTCCAAAAGATTGATTAAATGTCAGATATTCTTTTTCTATTCTTTCAGATGTATCTTAATGCACTAGTTTATTTAGCTCCAGTATAAAATCTCGGTGCAATCATTTTTTTTTATTGCGATGTTATTTTGATATTTTAGCCGCAAGATTATTTTGAACTAAAAGCATTTTTTAAATGTCCGTACAGTGGATTCTTGTTCTACTTTTTAATATGTTTAAAATTCTACTTTTATTGTGTTGTTAACATGCGATCATCTCACTATCAGCACTTATAGCAAGACATTTTCTGCTAGCCTTTAACAAATAAAATGAATTTCATTGATATTTTATTTAAATAGGAAAATGAACGATCATTGTGTAATACAAGACAAAGCAATATGCGTATATCGTTTTAATGTATTAAGTACACCACTATCAAATTCAACATTGTATACGTTCATTTTGATGATTGTAAAAAAATGGCATTACATCCTCCACAATAGTTGATACTTGAAAATAATTAACTAAGAATTGAATGATAATAGATAACATATTTTTGGTTATTCATCTACCAACAAATGGCATCTGGATGTTATGCACATTTTGCCATTAAATATGGATTAACAAAACAGTTTACACGTACACATGCTCGTGTAGTTATATCAGTTTCAGTTGTTGCAGCATTACCTGTCATATAAACGCAAATGATTCAAATATCTTCTTTAATTTCTAATATTCAGCTTACGATCAACTATTTATCCTTCTGAATACCAATTAGCATAGAAATTATTCGCTGTAAATGTCTCGTTTTTAGTATCTACGTATGTATGAAGAATAAATAATTAAAAAAAGGTACCTGTCCCTGGCTTTTTATCGGACGGTGTGAATGAACTTTATCGTTACATCCACCATAATAGTCGGAAATGCAATATGCATTTTGATAAGCTGAACATTTTGAGAACTAATATATTAGATTTAGAGTGGTAATATCAGTTAAAAGTTAATTTGTACTATTTTTCATACACGATATGGATCAACGAAACAATTAACAATATTGTTGCATAATGGTTTTAATTATTTACCATAAGCAACTAAAGTATTGCATTTTGATACTAGTTTAATGATGATAATTAAATATAGTAAATTGATTTATATTACCTGAGCAGAATAAAAATCCTAAAAATACAAGTTTACCAAACATTTTTATTTCTCTGAAATAAGTAATATGTAAGCTGTTGGTTTGACACTGAAATGCGAATAAAATATAATCATTTTTTCTATTTTATACTGATCAAAGTTGAGAAATAAGTCATTTGTTTTTCTTTTGAGAATAGGTACGATATCTGAGAAAAGTAAATATTTGAATACCAGTTACTTTTCATTTCACTTATATTATTATACGGAATATAAATTTTTAACTGATTACAGTCTAGTTTGAACCATGATGAACCTGAGAATCAAGAGATTCTGATCTCCCCAGTTTGACGAGAATGACTTTTAATTGAATTAGAAACATATTAATCTCGAGTGCCTAAATTTTTCAGATTTTTTAACAGTAAATACTTTCTACATAGTTATTGTATTGTTACTCTTTCAAGTTTAGACATATTATAGTTGGTAATTCAAAACGCCATCCATTTCAGTTGCCTGAATAATTCTGGCGTTGTCATAACGTAGTTAAATGTTGGAAGTAAACCCTAGTCAATGTATTCGATGCAAGTACTTGATTACTTGTTAAGTATTTGATAAGTACTTGAAAAAATTGGCAAGTGTTTTCAAAATTTCTCACTTGCCATGTACTTTCCTAAATACTTCTCAACGATCAAAATATTTGCTTTTATTCCTAAGAAGTACTTTGTGAAAGTCCTTGGCAAGTAAGGGCCTTTTTGTAGAAATAAAAAGCGCTGGAGTATTATAGCAACGCCTAAATAGCAATATAAAACTCAACTTTCTGAAACATATATATTATTCCCTCAACGTTTTATTTGCATCTGTATGTTACTGAGATTTTGTTGTTTTTCAACTGTTTTTCTGCCACAGTGATTCTGCATGCTAAAAATCTATATTAAGTAAACAGTAATCTCGTACATTTTCTTCATGCACGTATAATACTATGATGGAAATTTGTTTTATTATTTTACCTCTTGTTTTAATTTGTCAGAACTATATCTTACTCTTTTCTTTACAATCTCTTTTTGTCTTACATGTGGGTTTATTTAATACTTATGAACACTTTTTTAACTGACAATAGGTTTAAAATCAGCAGTTGCTTGGATAAGACAGGTTAGGACCGCTTGCCACTAGAGTCCTGTTACCGTGACTTTTTCGTTACCATTTACCATACCATTACCATCGATGTGATTTTTTTCTTTACCATGACCGTTACCACGGCGAAGAATGTTTTACCATTACCATTACCATGGTAATGGTAATGGAATTTCCACGGTAACAGAACATATTCGAACAGAAAGGAAAGAAAAAAATATAAACACGTGCAGAAGGCACATAACAAAGAATATCTAGGCTCAT